ATTTTCCATGTTATGGATTGGAAGAATCAGCATTATTAAACGTCCATACTACCCAAAGCAATTTACAGATTCAATGCAATCCCAATCAAAATAGCAATGATATTCTTCTCAGATCTACAAAAAATGATGCTAAAATTCATATGAAAACACAAGAGACCTCAAATAGCTAAAGCAATCTTATACAACAAAACAAAGCTGGAGGCATCACAATACCAGATTTCAAGACATACTGCGGGGCAGTTTTAATCAAAAACAGTCTGGCATGTAGATAAATGGAACATAATAGAAACCCCAGAAATTAATACCACATATCTACAGCTAATCTTTGACAAAGGAACTAAAAACAGTCTATTCAACAAATGGTGTTGAGAAAGTTGGATCTATGCATGTACGCAAGCCTTTGCAAACTTGCCCATCCAATAGCTGATTACTTCTAAGTGATTCTGCTCTGTGACTTGTCACAGAACAGAAGAATCTCCTTGTTTATTTAGGTCTGAATTTCTGATACACAAAACTATTTGTTATAATAAAATGGATGTCATCTTAAACCACTGAGTTTAGGATACTTTGTTGAACAGAAGTAGGAAACTGGAACATATAAATGGGATTGGTGAGTATTGTCTGATCTTGGTTGCCTTTAGCTGGTCTTAATTGGGCTCACTCATGTGTCCTTGGGTCAGTGGAGACCCTGCTCTAGGGTATGCATGGCTAGGGCAGTTCAGCTGGGACAATTCTACCATGTGAGCAATAATTGAGGCCATTCATACCATTTTCAGTGCAATGGCAAAAGTAAGAGAGCAGGTAGAGAAATACAAGGATCCTTGATACCCAGGCCTGGGACTGGTATTCTATTTATTCTACCTCATACTACTGGTCAAGTCACATGACTGAATTCAGAATCAAAGATTAGGGCATCCACTCTGTTTCTTTTATGGAAGTTAGAACAAAATCCACATATCGGAGGATTCAGAGAGGGGTGAAAATTTGGGATAATAATACAATTTACTAAATTTATTTAATTTCAGTTTAGCTCATATCTATGGGATACCTACTATTTACTGAACATTATGCTAGTCATTGAGAAAATAGAAATAAAAGGACTTCTCTTTGTGTTCTTGAAATGCTTACTGTCTTGGCAACATTCAGGGTAGTAAAAGGATTTACTGTATTTAGGTTTTTGATTGGAGACCTCAACTTCCTATTTTGGCCTTTACTTCTAACCCGTTTGTCAAGATCTACGCCTGCATTATACTTCAGGCCTAAAATTTAAGTTCTGTTTTATTATTCTATCAATTTAAAATTTGGTCAGAAGTCCTTCTATGACTGACCCATTGTCAAATTTTATTTGGCAGGGTATTTATGCTTTTATGCAAATGTGAAAACATTCTAATGTAAAGCAAGTGACATGTCTGAAACATCAGTCAAGTTACTGCCAAATCTTCACCATTGTCATTTGAAGGGCTTAATGTTTTCCTCATCACCAAACTCCTGGAAAGTTTTATCATAAAGTGTAACAACATTATCACTATTACCTGTATTTAAATTGGGAAGAAGAAATCCACAATATAAAAGGAAACTTATATGAGCACAATTCACTCTCGCAAATGACACTGAGTATCTTCCTTATATTGGTTGATTCTGCTCATTCTTTTCTGAAGCTCTTTGGTGCCCTGCTGTATGAATTGTGTTCCCCACTGAAACTTGGTTTGCCCCATACCAACGTATTCACTGTCAGAGCCGGGACTTCATAACTTTCCCCTTCCTTCCTCATCTCTTCCCTTAAGATCCTATTGGTGGCCGGCGTCGCGGCTCACTAGGCTAATCCTCCGCCTTGCGGCGCCGGCACACCAGGTTCTAGTCCCAGTCGGGGTGCTGGATTCTGTCCTAGTTACCCCTCTTCCAGGCCAGTTCTCTGCTGTGGCCAGGGAGTGCAGTGGAGGATGGCCCAAGTGCTTGGGCCCTGCACCCCATGGGAGACCAGGAAAAGCACCTGGCTCCTGCTTTCGGATCAACGCGGTGCGCCGGCCGTGGTGGCCATTGGAGGGTGAACCAACAGCAAAGGAAGACCTTTCTCTCTGTCTCTCTCTCACTGTCCACTCTGCCTGTAAAAAAAAAAAAAAATCCTATTGGCTGTCTGTGGGATGTCACTTTTATTTTAGTTTTTTGTTTTTAGTGAAGGGCCTAGAGTTGAGCTCCACGAAGGATCCAGCCCAGTTCATGGCAGCTGCATCCCTGGCCACTCATTAACCCAGAGCAGAGGCAGCATGACACAGTGGGGAGCTGCTGGTCTAATTTCAGAGCCAAATAGGCTAGATTTTAACTCAAACTCCGTGACTTACTAATATTGCAATTTGGGCAGACCACTTAACTTCTGCTTGCCTCAGTTTTGTAATCCATTATCTGAGCATAATAAATCTTATTTTACACGGTTCTTGTGGTGTAAATGAAATAACAGTTATAAAGTTATAAAATAACAGTGCTGGTTGTCTTAATGTTCATTCCCTTCCCCTCACCCCTCTCTCCAGTTCTCTCTTATTTGCCATTTCAGGACTGATTTACCAAGAGTTTTCACTGCATGTTTTTAGGGTCAAAATACTTTTTATGGCCGGCATGGTGGCTCACTGGGCTAATCCTCCGCCTGCGGCTCCGGCACCCTGGGTTCTAGTCCCGCTTGGGGCGCCAGATTCTGTCCCTGTTGCTCCTCTTCCAGGCCAGCTCTCTGCTGTGGCCCGGGAGTGCAGTGGAGGATGGCCCAGGTCCTTGGGCCCTGCACCCATATGGGAGACCAGGAGGAAGCAACTGGCTCCTGGCTTCGGATTGGCACAGTGCCGGCCGTGGCGGCCACTTAGCGGGTGAACCAATGGAAGGAAGACCTTTCTCTCTGTCTCTCTGTCTCTCTCTCTCTAACTCTGCCTGTCAAAAAAAATATTTTTTATGTATGAAAGAATAAAGCAGAATAAGTAATAAGTAAGTAAAAGGGAGGATTATTTTCCCACATGATCTCACTTGTTCAAGAAAACATTAAGAAATACCTGACAGCACTAAAACTCAACATTCTGCAACTCCCAATTCTTCTTATAATAAAGTGGTGAGAGAATTCAAAGATATTGATAATTTACTTTAGGCTTTCTGCCAGATCTCTGATTTTTCTGTAGCCTAAAGATGTGGGTCTGGTTATATTTGGATGTTTAATGCTGTAAAGAGCCTTAAGAATGGGCTGCATCTTACTGTCTTCATGTCATAGGACTAAGCACTGTATTTCTGAGATGTTCACATAAATGTTTGTACAACAAATGAATATTTTGTTTAAGGCAGTTGTAGGAACTAATGAAAGTTCAATGATTTTATACCTAAGCAGAATATTTTATTTTGAGTTTTTGCTTCAGCTGGCTTTAGCTGGCTGATGCCTGGTAACCTCATTGTCTGTGCTCACTCTTGTAGGGTGGAGGGGTGTGTGTGTGGGTGGGTGGGCGGGTCTGCATTTGGAAAGATGCAGTATGCTCAGCTTTTACTTTCATTTTTGCTTTTTTTTTTGTCTCTCATTTTTCTTGACTGTAAACTCCAGGACAGAGACCAGGGTTGATGTTTAGTGTTACCATATATACTCTCTCTCTGCTTGAGATGTTGTCACTATTCAGTAAATATTGGTTGAATGGAAGATTACAGCAGCAAAGACAACTCAAAGTAAAGTTAGCATTTTTGGATTTTTATATGATTTTGGAAATACAGCATCCTATTTTTGTGCTTTCTCATCTGCTCTAATTTATATCTATCTCCTCTATAGCTCAGTTCCATTGAGCTGTGCTTGGATTTATTGTCGTTTAATATCATCTTTATAAATGCTGCATGATTTGTGGAAAAGAGTTTTGAATAAAGCAGATATGGATTTAGGTCCTGAATCCCTAACTTGCTAGTTGTGTGACCTTGGGCAAAGTATGTAACCTCTTGGTGCTTGTTTGTTCAGGTGAAGAAAACTAAGAAGGGGAAAAAAATAATATGTCATCCATCTGGAAGAGTTGTTTTAGGAACTTATTTGATTGATGACTGTAAGGCACCTGCTCATAGTACAGGCTCTACAAAAGCAGTTGTTTTTACTATTATTACTTCTATTATCCTTACTCTCCTGCTATTTTTCCTCATCACTCCTGTACTCTCCTACCAGAAAGCACAGCTACTGGAGTACTGGGAGCTGATAGGAAATAGAATACTATGAACTATCAAAAGTTCACTTCTTTGGGAACCTTATATCATATCACTTTGGACACTGATAAAAGCCTTCATAAGAATACCCATACTTTACTCTATTAAAACAGTGCAAGGATACATGGGAGTTTTTAGAAAAACCTATCAAATTGTAAGGCAAAGAGAGTTAAGTGGCATATAAATAATTTAAGGCCATAACATATATTCAAATTTATGGTTTTTTTATTGTCTCTCTTTCCATTTACTGCAATAGATTTTAGAAGACTGCTCTCACAACAGGACCATTATCCCTTGTAGATTTAAGGACTATTACACCAGCATTTTTTTAAATAATTGAGTTTGTTGGAATAAACTCTTCAGCTCAATATTTTTCATCTCTCCCTAATACAAATATATTTGATTCCTATAAATCTGAGTGAGGTCAGTCAGGAAATTAAATATATTTGTTTTCCACAGGGTATATGAACCATTAAGTCATGTTGCATTTATTATAGATCATGTTTGCTCTTTGGCAAGATAATTTGAAAGATTCAGAACACTATGAATATGTAACCCTGAGAAACCAACTAGAAAGGAAAATTGAAGCAAAATGTTCCTTATAATAACTACTTTAAGTAAATAAAATGTTCTGTGTGATTCAAGCATACATTTACATGATAGTATCAAAAAGATATCATTCTATACCAGGTTCATTCTTGTGGTTCAGATATATATATTTTCTCATATAGTATTTAGATAATTTAGTCTTTCCATTCAGATCTCAATTAATGTGCATGTTTTCCTATTATATCTTCCAGCTTCAAGTATGTGGATATTTTCTTGTTTTTGTGCCATTTTAATTGTTTTGGCTATTTCTGGTATTGACACAATAGCAAAGACCACACCATATACCAAATTTACAAAGAAATCTGAGGGAAAAGAAATACCAAAGGGTCTGAAGCCAGCCAGTGGCCCATCTCCGGAAGAAGAAGAGACTCCCTTCACAGAAATGGCTGACATGGCCATGCCAGCAGAACCAGCCACTGACTCTTTGGCCCTGGATCCTGCCTTGGGTGCTGCCACTCTCTTTCCCTTTGAAAACTTCACTCTCGACACGGCTGACTTCCTCCTGAATTGCTGTGATTGTTGTTCACCTGTCGCAGGGCAGAAGGGAGAGCCTGGAGAGATGGGAAAGCCAGGTATTTGAAAACACATCAAGTCACATTTCTCACCCTTACATAGTTAGAGTCAAGAGATGGGTTGGAGGGTGGAGTGGTCCCAAAGGTGTCTCCATTGGCCATGCAAATGGTGACAGGCATAGGTATGACATCGTGACAAATGCAAATGGGTGCCCTGCTGCCCAAGGCATCAGTTACTGCCTACTATGGTTATCTAAGCATTAAAATTAAATTAAATGCAAAAAATTAAATCAAATGTGTTGAAAAACGGAGTTAATCTGTCAAGATAGCCACACCACAAGTGCTCCCTAGCCACACTAGGGAGCTACCATGCTAACGGGCTACCATGTTGGGCAGTGCAGACATGAAGCCTCTGTCACTGCAGAGTTCTTTTGGGTGGTGCTGGCTAGAGCAATGTCAAGGACTGCTAGCCTCAGCAGTGGTGCTGCACAGGTTTATTGCCAGGACAATCTTTTCATTAATGGCTTATTTAAAAGTGGTGAGTGGAAGCTCTGCTTCTAGGGAGAATGTGTGCTGACTTATGGCTTTTTTCCAGTGCTATTTGTCATTAGGGTTAGGAATGCACTGCCTGTGAGGTGGAGAAGAGAGCCCAGGATCCAGTTTGCTTGTCATTGAGATTAGGAGGCGACACTGTATCATTGTCTAGCACTTTCTCCACTGAACACCACAATTATGCATTTCAGCATTTCAAATGCCTCTTATATATCCATAATGAGTACGCTCTTTGTTTTATTATAAAACATTTTGACTTTTACTTGTCACCTGGCAGAGAATTCAAGGCAAAAGTAAGATTAGAAAGTCAGTTTCCAACTCACTATTCTCTGAAAAAAAATACACATAAACATTTGTTGTATCTTGCCTGTAGAATTTAAAGGTATAAAATCGGTAATTACACCTCCTTACCAACCTTTTCATTTGTTTATCCCATGGGAGGGATCTTTTGAAAAATGTGCTCGGTATTTATGCATTGCTGGATTAGGAGGTAAAGGATATGCCCAGGGGGGCCAGGACATCAAGATTCTGGGGTTGCTAAAACAGTACTAGAAAAGTAATGAGACTGAGAAAGCCATGTTTACCAGACTTTCTCTCTGTGTCCTGTCTGTCGGGTAAGCTGCTTGGGGGTGAAAACCCCTAGGGTGTGGTCAAGTAGGCCCCGTTGTTTACTGACCCTCTCTTAGGGCTATGTGGTCTGCAACATCAGGGCTTGTGTTTTACCCAGTGGTGGGTTCCGCTGGGTTGTTGTTGGACCTCAGAATACAAGTGATAAATATTTTGAAGGTGTGCCAAGTGATTAGCTAGCCTGGGAGTCTGGTTCTGCCACAGTGTATATTGTATAACACCTCAGAATGCTGGTTTGTCCTTGTTCTATCTTAGGAACTCTCACTGTTTGTCTCAGTTTTCAAAGAGTGTGTGTGTGTACATACATATACTAAATATTTATTTTATTTATTTGAAAGGCAGAGTTACAGAAAGAGAGGGAGAGGTAGAGAGGTTGAGAGTTAGAAAGAGAGAGAAAGAGAGAGAGAGAGAGAGATCTTCTATCTGCTGGTTCACTTCCCCACAGGCTGCAATGACCAAGGCTGGACCAGGCCAAAGCTGGGAGCCAGGAGCTTCTTCCATGTCTCCCACATGGGTGCAGGGGCCCAAGCACTTGGGCCATCTTCTGCTTCTCTCAGGCCATCAGCAGGGAGCTGGATTGGAAGTGGAACAGCTGGGACTCAAACCAGCATTCATATAGGATGCTGACATTTCAGGTGGCAGCTTTACTCATTAGGGCACAACACCAGCCTTTCAGTTTCCAAAATATTAAAATAAGTTAAGAATGATACTCACGGAATCGAGAGAACTGAATGAGATAAGACATGTAAGAACTCAAGGTGGTGCCTCGAGTAGGATAAATGAGCAGGAAACTATTTTTATTTTTCCAGTGAGCTGTGGGATGAGTCTGGCCCTCAGAATACTCCGAGGTGGATAATGACAGGATACTGTTTTTGCGACTCAGAGAGAACTGTTTGTTCTAGCTTTATCAATGCTTGTCAAAACACTGCTTCTTCCTTGTTGTTTTTTTTTTTAATTAGAAATCTAGTATAAGAGCAACATTGAGAAAACCTGAAAAAGGAGAATAAACCTACTCAAACCCAACTGCTTTAATTTTTCGTCATTGTCTTTCAGTCCTTGGTTACGTGAATATACTCACACACACGAATGTATGTCACATTTTGCATTACCAAGTTTTAAAAGCATCTAACTTTATAGTGTTTCTGGATGAAAATGTTCTGAAGGATTCCGGTCTATTTAATGGCCAACAAAGGAAGAATTCTACTTAAAATTTTATCTCCTGTTTCTTCCATGAGTTCGGTTATAATAGTTGGTACTTACTGTATGTGAAGAACGGATAGGCACTTTATATTACTTCTAATCTTTATAAAAATGCTATTACATTTCAACCAGCTTAATCATGTGTCAGAGTTCCTGTGAAGTCTGGAGATTGCACTACCTGAGAGTGTGGAGACTGGAGTCCAACTTGATTTGTGGACCTTCAAGCCCCAGCTCTTCCCATTATGTTCAACCTTATGGTATTTATGCCACTCAATTCTACATGTACATCTCACTTAGACATCTGGGGCAGTCTCTCTTCCCTCGTACTCTTTTTTTAAATTTATTTGACAGGTAGAGTTATAGCCAGTGAGAGAGAGAGAGACAGAGATAAAGGTCTTCCTTCCGTTGTTTTACTCCCCGAATGGCCGCTACGGCTGGCACTGTGCCAATCTGAAGCCAGGAGGCAGGTGCTTCTTCCTGGTCTCCCATGTGGGTGCAGGGGCCCAAGCACTTGGGCCATCCTCCACTGCCCTCCTGGGCCACAGCAGAGAGCTGGATTGGAAGAGGAGCAACCGGGACTAGAACCTGGAACCCCTCTCATACTCTTATATGCAGTTGCTCTGTGTTCCCTGTGCCAACCTGGGTAGAGCCTTTATAATTTCCCTCAATATTATACCCACATGGAGAGAATATTTGGTGCTCTGAGGATGAGGGGACATTGCACACTGAAATGCAATTGGCTGCCTTACTTGCTTTCACCATCTATGCTTATGCTTTTTCCATTCCTCTCCATCATGTAATCCTCCCTTTTCTAGATAGGAGAATTTAATAAGCACTATTGGTTATTTGAGCCTTCCTTAAGCCTTAAACTCCATTGTCAACCATTTCTTAAAATTTTTCTTCCAAAGAAATACGGTCTTCCTTTCCTTTCCTCTCTTTTCCTTTCTTTTCCTTTCTTTTCCTTTCTTTTCCTTTCCTTTCCTTTCCTGTCCTTTCCTTTCCTTTCCTTTCCTTTCCTTTCCTTTCCTTTCCTTTCCTTTCCAATTTATTTATTTATTTGAAAAATAAAATTACAGAGAGGCAGGGAGGGGGGGAAGGAGGTCTTCTATCCACTGGGTCACTCCCCAGATAGCAGCAATGGCTACAGCTGTGCCTATCCAAAACCAGGAGCCAGGAAATTCTTCTGGGTCTCCCATGTGGGTGCAGGGGCCCAAGGACTTGGTCCATCTTCTACTGCTTTTCCAGGCCATAGCAGAGAGTTGGATCAGAAGAGGAGAAGAGAGGACTCAAACCAATGCCCATATGGGATGCCGGCACTGTAGGAAGTGGCTTTACCCACTACGCCACAGTGCTGGCCCTACAATTTTCTCTCAAAGAGGAGTTCCATTGAATGCAATTTCCCAATTTCATCTTAATTATAATAATTATAATTATAATCATTAAATATAATCATATCTAAACAACAAATATAAATTAATATAATTATACTAAATAATTAAAATAAATAACAAATATGATTATAATAATTATAATTAAGATGAAATGGTATCATTTATCAATATGGTTAACATTTAAATTATTATACTTGGGGATTATTGCAGGGATTGAGACACAATTCTCCCAGCTTGCGTTAGACTGGGCCGCAGGAAGGATGATTATCCTAAGCTCAGTGTATTCATGTGGCCCAGAACTCCCTGTATAAGTGAGGGCAAGGAATGGGGGCTGAGTCCTGCCTCACCTGCTGTTTCCTACCTCTCAGCCTCCTCTCTTGCTTGATCCTCACCTCTACCTGCCATGCTGTTCTTTTAGTTCATTACAAACACCATGGTCTTGGGCTGGCACTGTGGTGTAGTGGGTAAATCTGTTGCCTGCAGTGCTGGTATCTCATATGGGTGCCAGTTAAGTCCTGGCTGCTCCACTTCTGATCCAGCTCTCTGCTATGGCCTAGGAAAGCATTAGAAAGTGGCCCAAGTCCTTGGGCCCCTGAACCAGCGTGGGAGACCCTGAAGAAACACCGGGCTCCTGGCTTCAGATTGTCCCAGCTCCGGCTATTGTGGCCATTTAGGGAGTGAACCAGAGGATGGAAAACCTCTATCTGTCTCTCTCTCTCTCTCTCTCTCTCTCTCTCTCTCTCTCTCTCTGTAACTCTGTCTTTCAAATAAATAAAATAAATCTAAAAAAATAAACCTCACCATAGTCTTTTCTACACGTATTTTTTCTGAAATATTTGTCTGCTTACTTTTTGCTTCTAGAAATCCAAGTCCATTCATTGGTCTTAGCCTAATGCCATTTTCACAGGGATGTCTCCTGATCCCATAAATATTAATTAGATTCGGTTACTATAACCCAAAATAGGATCTTCTTTTTCCTTTACATCATTAACCACCATGTGGCAACTCCTATTTATTTTGATTTCTGTTTAAATTTTCCTTTCACAGATTCTCAGCTCCAAGAAGGTAGGGGTGCTGGAATGTTGATGACTGCTTTTCCAATACTTAGCAGGGTACCTGGTATAAAGGAGGCCTCAGAAGTAGCTCCCGAGTGAGTGATGACATGAATGAATGGGAAATCCAAAAGCGCTAGGTTTTGTGTTTTTACTTCCAATCTGAAAGTGCGGTCCACACGAGGTTAAGTGTCAGATAATCATTTTGTTCTTCCTATTTGATATAGTGCCGCGCCCCTGAATCATTTGATCACTGCCGTGAATGCAGTGACAAGTACTAATGGGCTCAATTTATCTACTCAGGTAGTACAAAATTGCAAATCAGACAAAAATTGTACCCTTAGAACTCTGTAATAGTTTATCCTCGCCTAGATTTTATCATCAGAACATTGGTAGTTATTGGTCTTAATAAAATGATTGGTGTTTATCTGAACTATGAATTTCAAAAGAGAATGTTTCTTTTCTGATGATTTTACAAATCACTCTTGTTTCTAGGTCCCAAAGGAGAGGCTGGTGATGTCGGGGTCCAAGGGCCACCAGGAGTCGTTGGGTCCCAGGGCTCCAAGGGCCAGAAAGGAGAGAAGGGTAGGCGATTCGTTTCATGTTAAAACTCAAGAGGCATCTGCACTGGTTTCTGGGAGAGAAACTTGCTGAGTACATGTTACATTTGTACGTGCAGATGAATTTTTAAACATGAAGACTTTGTAAAACACATTGAGGTAAATGGGTAGTATAAATTTAATGTTTTAAGTGGCCAACTGAAAAATTCTGGACAAACATTTAGCACAAACATACGTTCACACATATGCATACATGTCCACAAGATTCTCTTTTTTTTCTCTCATTGGCCACCTTGCTGATCCAGTGATGGGAAACTGCAGGATACAGTCACTGGTGAAGAGTCCTTTCTTGTATATTCCTGTGTGAGCTTTTCTTTAGGACACAAATAATCTTGATAAAGCTAGCAGAGGCAATCTTCTAGAATATCCAGAATCAGTGGGTAGCCTCCTTGCTAAAAGAAGCCAGCAAATCCTGTGGGTCACTCTACAATAAGTGCCGATGGCTGGAGGACACCTGAGTAAAATTGAAGTAATGAAGCATGGAAGAGTGACCTTGGACCAGTCGCTTCACCTTGTCTGGAAACTGAAGGAAATGCACTAGATAGTTACTTCTGCCTTGTTCACTCTGAAAGAAGATTTTGAGTTACAGGTCTCTCATAGATCTTTTCCAGTTCAGAAATTTTTTAATTCCATAGATGCAGCAGTAAAGAATACTTTCTGCCCCAGGAAATCCCTGGGTCTGTAAGTGCTTAAAAATATGGAGGAAGGTTACAGATTCACTGAGACATTTAGAAATCCCTCAGTGAACACCCGCAGCCTGTAGAAATACCATCTATCCATCACATTAAATGTTTCAACCTCCATGTCACATGTCAGAAGACCTAATATCATCTATACATCACCCTCCACATGGCTCAGGAACTGCCTAACTCATTTCTGGTAGAACATTCAGTGAAGTACTTACTCAAAAAAGATGCTAAGGTAAGAGAGAGCTGCTTCACACTTGTCAGTTATGCAATTTTCATTCTTGGAAACATTTAATCCTTTTGTGACTGAATTATGTGAGCAGAAAACCCTGTGAAATAAAGATGAGTGATGAACTTCCCCAGTGATTCACACATTTGGAAGCCAGACTTCTGGAAGTAGAAGAAAAAAACAGGGAAGTAACATAAGATAGGGTTCTTAAGAATGTGCTTTGATGCTTTTGATGAGATCAAAAGTAGAAATTCATTCAACCAGTGTCTGTAAAGTGGCAACTCTACTTTCCTATTTCAGACTTACATTGGACTCTTTGTTAATACTGAAAGTTTAAAAAATGAATTGAATGACTGCATTCTGGTTAAGCACTACCTGACTGAGTATATTCATGATAAGGAATTCAACTCCTGAAATGAACTTGAGAGCTAAAGTAACTCTGTTTGATGAAGATCGGAATTTGATTTTTGACAAGGACTGGGAATAGGATCTGTCCTTCATTTCCATTCAAGGTTACATTCTCTCTACATTCTAATATTTTCCTCATGGACTAATGGTTAATTTCCAAATTTTGTATTTCAGACAGAGTAGAAATGGAGGACCTAGCTACTTAGAAAACTCCACTGAGGTACCAGTGATGGGATTTTCCTAGCTGGTCCTGCTAAATGAGGGGGAGTCTATTTTAATTCCTTTTATTTTGATTTTGGATTTTCTTTTCCTTAACAAGAAATGAAACAGAAAATGTTAGATTGCCAATAATATAGTTGGCAAGTCGATGTCAACCAAAGTAATATATAAGCAGATTTGGCTTTCTAGAAATTTTAAATTGTTTTCAAACCTAAATTTCTTCCTTGACAAAAGTGGTGACAAAAATTTCTACTATACCTTGCCGGAAGGGGAGGTACTAGGTACTATACACTTTTGTGGTGCTGTGATATATGAGTCTTCCTTTTATGTAAAAGGTGGCATTAATTACAAATAAAAATTGTATTGAACAAGAAAGGATGAATTAGATAAAAAATGGTAAAAGTTTGGAACAATGCCTGGTATAAATTAAATATTCAATACTAGTTAGCTATTAATTTTATCATTGCTATTATCATTTACAATTAAAACTGACATGATTGCTATGTAACAGATAGGCTTTTAATTTGGCCTTATTAATAACAATCAATTTTATAATATGGCAAACATCTGAAAACCCAGCATTTTCAATCTGTTTTTAAACATGAATTCTTACAATTATGTAATTTGTCCAAAGGGTATCTTTGGACAATGCAAATCTTCCAATGCAAAATCAAAATTGGATTTTCCTGATGCTTTAGGTCAAGGACAGTCTTTCCTGGGTGGGTTTTTGTTACAATCGCTTCTAGCCAATTGCAAAATATTGTGCTCTATGTTTAAATTTGTTATAGTATATGGCATTATTTCTCAGGCAGTCTGGACAAATGAAGATGTTCCGGCTGTGATCCAAAATTCATAATAGGAAAACATAAACCCATGTGTGCATAATGCAAGCAAGAAGTCACCGGTTCTATGAGAAGTTTGAAGAGTCATGGGAACCTAGCCGGCAAAGATGAGTTCTGTTGGAAGGAACTGACACTGTCACCAGACTTCCTTTAAATGGTTTACCAATTACATACTCCTAATGAACCTCCATAAACTTCCTTTTTAACAGTGTTTTACCTTTGGTTAAAGGAAACACTGGAATGCATTGTGGTTTTCAAAGGGATGTTGCATACAACATAAATACAATGGGAAAAAGTTAATTTTGGTATCATTGTAGGACTTAAAGGAGAACGTGGGGACCAAGGAACAAGTGGAAATCCCGGATATCCAGGAAAACCTGGAGAACAAGGTAAATACAAGCTGTCCATTGTGGGTGATCATGTGGGCCTCACAGACCTAAATCTTTCTGTTTGTGTTTGGGGTTATCAGAGAGGTGAGAGAAATATTAATTCCCATGATTCCTCTGATTATTCAGTGTATACACTACATGATGTTTGAGTAGCCCTGTGTAGGATTTTGGAGACCAGGTCCAAGGATCTGAGCTCAAGATTTATTTATTTATTTGAAAGGCAGAGTTACAGAGAAGCAGAGGCAGAGAGAGGGAGAGAGAGAGCGAGCGAGAGAGAGAGAGTGAGGTCTTCCATCCATAGGTTTATTCCCCAGATGGCTGCACCAGCAAGAGCTGGGTCGATCTGAAGTCAGGAGCCAAGCGCTTCTTCCAGTCTCCCATGTGGGTGCAGGGGCTCAAGGACTTGGGCCATCTTCTACTGCTTTCCCAGGCCATAGCAGAGAGCTGGATTGGAACCGGAGCAGCGGCACCTCCAGCCGGTGCCCATACAGCATGCCGGCACCACAGGCTGTGGCTTCACCCACCCTTTACCCATTATGCCACAGTGCCAGCTCCTAATATTCTCTATCATAAAAATAAAACACAAATAGAAGACAGCTGAATCTAAGCTGTTGTTTCTTGGAAGCATTCCGAGAGTGTGGAATGATAGGAATGACTCCTTGTAAGAGCTTTGTAGGCACAGCTATGACTGAGGCAGGAGCCGGGTGTCCAGGTCTCCGGTAGCATGTTTTATTTCTACTGTCTGAACTCTGGGGGTAATAGCACCCGGTTGCCAGCCTGTGTGATCCTTCACTGTTGTTGTAATTTTCCATTTCAGGTGCACTCGGTCCTAAGGGGGATAAAGGCAATGTTGGCCTGGCAGGAGTGAAAGGACAAAAGGGCTCAAAAGGGGATCCATGCGGGAACGGCGGGAATGGCACCAAAGGCGACAAAGGAAACCCTGGCACTGTGGGCTCTCCCGGTTCGGATGGAAGGCCTGGGGCCAAGGGAGACAAGGGGGAGATGGGGGAAAAGGGCCACTTCGGAGATGCTGGGGAGCCGGGAGGAAAGGGACAAAAGGGTGAGGAGGGGATGAAAGGAGATACAGGTCTCAAGGGAGACCCTGGGATAGAGGGCAGAAGCGGCCTAGATGGCCGGCCTGGGGCCAAAGGCTATCCAGGGGTCAAAGGAGAAAAGGGAGAGTTAGGGCCTCCTGGTCTCATGGGACCTGCTGGGCCAAAGGGTGACATTGGTAGCAAAGGGACCCGTGGCCCCATTGGGAAGAAGGGCTCTCGCGGCTTTAAGGGCTCCAAGGGGGAGATGACCAGAATCCTGCAGTCAGCCTTCAGTGCTGCTTTATCAAGGCCTTTCCCTCCTCCCAACGTCCCTGTCAAATTCGACAAGGTCCTCTATAACGACCAGGGGCATTACAGCCCTGTCACTGGGAAATTTAACTGCAGTATTCCTGGGACATACGTTTTTTCCTACCATGTCACTGTGCGGGGCCGACCTGCAGGAATCTGCCTGGTGGCAGGGAACAAGAGGCGGTTCAAGTCCAGAGAGACTCTGTATGGCCAGGATATAGACCAAGCCTCTCTCCTCATTGTCCTGAAATTAGGTGCAGGAGACCAAGTGTGGCTGGAAGTGTCCAAGGGTTGGAATGGAGTGTATGTCAGTGCTGACGATGACAGCATTTTTACTGGGTTCCTTTTGTACCCTGAAGAAACTCTTGGCATTCCACCACACCTTTGAGCCTTGCATTTTGCAGTGTGGCTTTAGTGGAATAAGCCCATTAAAATAGAGTAGTGCTATTAAAAAAAAACTTCAATTTTTAAATGTTTATGAACACAGCACAAAAAATAAGATAAAATAATTCCTATTTTAAGGCATCTCCTTTAATATGTATGTGTTTGAGAACATAAATGTCTTAACTTTGTAACTGACTTCATTTGGCATTATTTTGACACTACTCATGCATTTAAACAAAAATATTTGTATACCAAAATATGAATGAATCTTATAATTAATAAATATATTCTTCTAAAACCTTCTGTATCTCACGTGAATGTGTTACTCCTTTCTGTGTGTGAAGCTAGTAGCTGACACAAGCACAGGTCTTTCTCAAAGTTTCCAATTCTCTTGGGAGGGTTTTCTTCTTCTTCTAAAAAAAAAAAAGCAAATATTTGGGGCCAGCATTATGGTAAGCTGCCACCTGCGACACCAGCATCCCATTTAGGTACTGGTTCAAGTCCCAGTTGATCCACTTCCAGTCCACCTCCCGGCTAATGTGCCTGGGAAAATGGTGAAAGATGGCCTAAGTCCTTAGGCCCCTGCATGCACATGAGAGATTTGGAAAAATCTCTTGGCTCTTGGCTTCAGTCTGGCCCAGCTTAGGCCATTATAGCCTTCTGGGGAGTGAACCAATGGATGGAAGAGCTCTGTCTCTCTCTGTCTCTGCCTCTCTCTCTCTCTGTAGACTCTGCCTTTCAAATAAATAAATAAATCTTTTAAAAAGTACAAGTGTTTTCATGTTAGTTTAATACAAGGAAAATTTATCTGTTTGTAAGGGTTTGCTCAAGAAATGTAGAGTTGTGTATTGGGTAAAATGTAAAAAGAAAGTTGATCAACATATCGCTCAATCATAGCAAACACAAAACCATATGTCAAATTATTCTGCTTAGAAGAAAGGAGTGTCCAAGAACAAAATGAGATCATTGATCTAAATTTTGGCCTTTTCTTCACAGAGGAAAATTTAATTAGGACAAATTCTTAGACATCATTATTATCATTTATAAAATCATTCATTCCAGGCATTTAGTGATAACATTGCTGGAGCAGATGGGGGCTTGGGAACTAATTTTCATTGTGAATGTTTAACAACTATGAATATTTGATAATTCAGTGACTTCATTTTCTAAAAACCAAATGGGTTGAATCCACACTGAATTTGGTTCTATGAAGGGTGTTATGCAGATTTGTCCCTCTTGGTGTGCCAAGCCAGGAAGTGAGTGATGGGTTACTTTCTGGTCTTGCTTTGACATATGCCCACTTTGACATATGCCCACTTTGACACATTCCCACTTTGAGATTCTCATTCACATATTTAGTAGAATAAGGTTTCCCAAATTGTGTTCGAAGAATACATTTATGAAAATTGCTATAAACTACTAGAAACAGAGTAATTTGGACATCAAGCAAATATAGGACATGCTATCTTCTACAGCTCCCTCATAAAGAGTCATAAAGCATGTCAGTGTAGTTTCTGAAACACACACAGAAAATAGCTTACTTTACTTCTGTCTTATCCAGGGATCCAAAGGTTATTTTGGGCATAGAAGTCATCAACTAACATCTCTTGAAACAGCATTCTGTGGGATCTTAATTTTGGAAATGCTGCATTAGTTTCTCATCCAAGGATTACCTGGCAGGCTGAGGAAAAGTTCACTCCTGGCATTTTCACTTCCTTCAACAGTTTTTACCTGTTTAGATTCCAACATTGCATTAGTTGTGACTGTATTGCTGTTTGGCAAAGGGAGAATAAGAAAAATTGCGAGTGATTTTTAAAAATGATGCTTACACTTGGAACTTTCATTTTTCATTTGCAGTATCAAGTAATTAAGAGAATCAGGAACTTAGCCTGTGTTTGTTATTTTTCTTGTTTAGAATTCTTTGTATTAATTTGATGTTTGCCTATCAATTTATTTATTTATTCAAGAGGTGGGGGAAGAGAGGGCGGGAGAGAGAAAGAGAGAGAGATCCAATCCTGTAGCTCACTACCGAAATGCTTGCAAAAACAGGAACTTGGACAAGCCAAGCTGGTAGCTGACAACTCGCTCCAGGTCTTCCATGTGGGTAGCAGGGATCTGACTGCCTGCTGCCTTCAAGGGTATGCATTAGCAGGAAGCAAGTTAGAATCAGGAGCTGAGCCAGGACTTGATCCCAGACACTCTGATATGGGATATGAGGGTGCCACATGACTTTTTTATAATAATTGTTTTTTATTTAGTAAATATAAATTTCCAAAGTACAGTTTATGGATTACAATGGCTTCTCCCCCCATAACTTCCTTCCCACATGCACCCTTCCCATCTCCCGCTCCCTCTCCCATTCCATTCACATCAAGATTCATTTTCAATTATCTTTATATACAGAAGATCAATTTAGTATATATTAAGTAAAGATTTATCAGTTTGCACCCACACAGAACATAAAGTGTAAAATACTGTTTCAGTACTATTTATAGCATTACTTCACATTGGACAATACATTAAGGACAGAGATCCCACAAGAGGAGTCAGTACACAGTGACTCCTGTTGTTGACTTAACAATTTGACACTCTTGTTTATGGTGTCAGTAATCTCCCTAGGCTCTAGTCATGAGTTGCCAAGGCTATGGAAGCCTTTTGAGTTTGCCGACTCTGATCTTATTTAGACAAGGTCATAGTCAAAGTGGAAGTTCTCTCCTCCCTTCAGAGAAAGGTACCTCCTTCTTTGATGGCCTGCTCTTTCTACTGGGATCTCACTCACAGAGCTCTTTCATTTAGAGTGTGTGCTGCTCTATTTTTGTATTATTTGCCAGAGTGTTTGGCCTTTCCATGCCTAAAATACTCTCATGGGCTCTTCAGCCAGATCTGAATGCCTTAAGGGCTGATTCTGAGGCCAGAGTGCTGTTTAGGACATCTGCCATTCTATGAGTCTGCTGTGTATCCCTCTTCCCATATTGGATCGTTCTCTCCCTTTTTTATTCTACCAGTTAGTATTAGCAGACACTAGTCTTGTTTGTATCTAAGAGTCGAAGGGACCAAATGGCTTTTAAAAAAATATTTATTTTTTGAAAGTTATAGACATATACACAAAGGCACACACACATGTTGCACAGTGATAGAAAAATCTTCCATCCTCTGATTTACTTCCCAGGTGGCCACAACTGCTGGAGCTGGGCCAGGAGGAAGTCAGGAGCCAGGTGTATCCCACATGGGTGGCAGGGCCCCAAGTACTTGGGTTACATTCTGCTGCTTTTCCCAGGCCATTATCAGGAAGCTGGATCAGAAACAAATTAGCTGGGACTCAAATTGGCACCGCATGGGTTGCTGGTGTCATATGCAGTGGCTTTACCTGCTAGGCCAAATGTCAACCACATTATATCATTTCCCTCATTCGGCTGAAACAATTTGGGGAGGCTGAGAACCAACTGACCAAGCAAGATAAAAGAGAAAATCATATCATAAATATCGTATGTGAGACCTGTGCTGTGGTGTGGTGGGTAAATCTGCTGCCTGCAATGCCGGCTTCCCATATGGGCACTGGTTCGAGTCCCAGATACTCCTCTTCTGATCCAGCTCTGTGGTATGGCCTCAGAAAGCAGTAGAAGATGGCCCACATCCTTGGGCCCCTGCACCTACATGGGAGACCTGGAGGAAGCTCCTCACTCCCGGCTTTGGATCGGCGCAGCTCCCGCTCTTGTGGCCATCTGGAGAGTGAACCAGCGGATGGAAGACCTCTCTCTCTCTCTCTCTCTCTGCCTCTACCTCTCTGTAACTCTACCTTTCAAATAAATGAATAAATCTTTGAAAAAATCATATGGGTGTTCTATTAACGGGCAGGTGGCAATTGGATGGGGAATAAGATAAAGACACCAATTCATTAATTACTATATATTTACCTGATAGATGTTCTTCTTAAACTTCAGAAAAAAGTATGTTTTCATAATTAAGATTTTCACACACTTCATGTTCTACTGACAGTTTTTTCAAACTTGATCACATTGTTGGGTAATTATTTTTCTTAGTAGTTTTTAAAAATTGATTTGAATTTAAAGAAACTTTGATCAGCCAAATTGGCACTAAAGCTTTGAAAAGAACCAGGAATCTTATACATACTTTGTTCAAATATTGTAATGGGATTTGAATTAGATGCACTATCACTAGTGTAGACAATGTTGTGTAGTTCAAATATTTAAATTTAATCATAAAAGCCAATGATCATTTATTTACAATTTTACCATCTCTTAAATAAATGTTCTAGAACATAGCACTATCACAGATTTCCTTTCTAGACTTGCGTAATCACAAATTTAATAGTGATCTGAATTATTTAATATTGAATAACATTTTTAGCCATTCATTGTGCTATTGGAAATGCCATACCATTGCAAATGCCATACTATTGTAAATGCCATGCAATTCATGAATACCAAGAAAAATGAAATGGGACACAAAGAAAAGCAAAGCAATGGATTCCAAGCACAATTGACATATAATTCTTTGTTAATTATAGCATTTTATTTTATACTCTCTAAGAAAAAGACCGGATAAATTGCATCACCCTTAATTCAAAATTCTCATGGCTCAACTCCTCCCATCCTCCAAAGCAGTGGCCATACCCACATTTGCAGCAGTGCAAACCACCAACCAGGATGGAGTTTGGAGGCAGTCACCTTTTATTTGATGGACATAGGGCAAAGGGCCTGGATAAAAGCTTTTCAGGGCATCTAAAAGGCAGTAGTTACTGGTGCACATGTTTAAGTTTGAAGATTTCGCTATGCAATAATTGATCCCTGATCCCCAACAGAGTTTCCTTGGGTACTGTAATAAATTTGTGTGCTGCGGGTTTTTTTTAATTAAAGCTTTATTTATTTTATTTTAAAGGCAGAGTTAGAGAGAGGGAAAGGGGGAGGGAGAGGGAGAGAGAGAGGGATATCTTCCATCTGCTGGTTCATTCTCCAAATGGTTCAACACCTGCTGCTGGGCCAGGCCAAAGCCAGGAGTCTGGAGCCCCTTTGGGTCTCCCACATGGGTGCAGCAGCCCAAGCATGTGGGCCATCCTCAGCTGCTTTCCCAGGTACATTAGCAGGGAGCTGGATTGGAAGTAGAGCATCTGGGTCTCAAATTGACACCCATATGGGATGGCGGCATTGCAGGCACTGGCTTTACCCACTAGGCCACAGGGCCAGCCCTGTTGCCTCTTTTATGCAGGAGTCATTAAAGCATGGGC